CTGGTCTTCCTCGTAGACATACGTCTCGGCTCCTGTCTCTTAGCCCTGATGCACCATGCCGCGGTTCCTCCCGTGGGTGAGCCCGAGACAGGTTTCACTGCATTGAGGATTTTGCTGTTTATCAAGGCTGATTTGCAGCTCAGTGCCCTTAGCTAAGGCAGTCCGTTAAGATGTCTGTAAGATGCGCTCCCTTGCTGGATCTTTCTCTACAAAAACCTTTTAAAGAGGAAAGCCATAAGTGAAAAATGGTATCGGTCACGGGAGCACTAACTTAAAGTGTCCGTGCCCTGACAGGATCCAGTTGGCACCAAGAGAAGCGTGGTGCGGGGCACCAGGGGGGTTTCCGCCCAGGGAGGAAGGCAGAAGGAAAAGCTATTTCATTTTTATTTGACACTTGAAAATTGAATTAATACCAATTTAAGTTTGATGCATGTGTTAGCTTATACAAGCTTGTAACGCCAAATCTATATGCAAAAACCAAAACTGCACTGCAGGTTAAATTGGAAATTACTTCTTTTGAAGTAGAAACATCAACTTTTACTCCAGGTAAGTCTGAAGACAGAGAAAAGACCAGCAAAGTGTTACACACAAATTTAGAAGAGAGCTTCAGGATAATTTTCTTCTGGTAGAACTAAGAATTACTTTGGGCAGCAGTGAGAAGGGTACTATTAGATAAAAATGTTTGGAAGTTATTCTTTGGCCAAAGAGATCCCAGAAGCAACACTCTGCCTCCACTGAAACCAGTGACTGAACAGCGTTTAACTTCACAGAGCTGTGACTTCAGCTCAGCTATTCAGTCACTAGGTGTATGACAAGTTACTTTCCCCTTATGGTGAATTAGCTATAAATTTTAATCAGTATTACAGTGAATAAATTAGTGTCTCTTCTATAAATTCTCCCTTTACAATTCCTGTAGGCCATGGTTTCGCTAATTAAAGTTCTCCTTGGGTTGGCTCAACATGCTGCTAAACTGATATGATGTCACTGCATGTACATCAAGGGATGTCCCTGGATCATCATTATTTGACAGTGTACATAGCTTAAAGATGCACTGACTCTTAGTTTTTAAGTGAGACATATGGACAAGAAGTTCATTGGCTGAAATTTAATTTTTATTTCCATATTTAAATCTCAACCAAAGTTGATATCATGAGACCTTCAGAGAGGGAAGCAGGATTATGGCTTAATTTTCTTATTCAGAAAATACACAGCTAGTCCGTTATTGCGAAGGAACTTTTTTTCTCTCCTTGGAAGATGCTCTGAATATACTTTTCCCTTTTGCCCTTTCCCTTCTGTACTTCATGGTTATTAAAATTAAAACAGCCCAAGAAGTAAAAATTCATTCCTTAAATAAAATCCTCTCCTTAAGCATTCAGTGTTAAATAAAGTAAGCAGTAACATCCTCCTCTTTGATGTTCAGAGCTAGACAGACTGAAGTGGATAAGCTCTATTTATTTGCATGTATCCTCAGCTGCCTCCCCTTCTCTTTTATATCACATTAATACCTGGAAATGGGAACTGTTTTTATTTCAGGGTAGCAGGTGCTTCCTCTGCTGTTACAGGCTCCACCAGTCTGATCTCTTCTGTCTCATGACACCAGGGATTATTTCAGGGATAGCTAATTTGTCCAAGATCATGCAAACAATCTTCATAACTGTGTGCTCATTGCTCCGGGTTATGCTCTCTGCCTTTGTCTGATATATAATTTAAAGATAAGTGGCAAACCCCACCTTTCAAACTAAATTCAATACTGGGTAGAAAGGGCAAGAGTTTAGCAGGTGAGTGCTATTTCCAATGAGCATTTTAATGATAGAGGTAAACATCTGGTGTAAGTATTACCTGCCCAAGCCACCTGGTTCCCCACTCTGTGCGCTGCACTGAGACCCCTGCAAGTGATCAAAATGAGGATGGGGGAGTGGAGTTATTTGCACTTTCCTCTGTGCCTTTGGTGTACCCCCCTTGTCATTACCAAGGGGTGGGTAGGAGAGGCTGTTCCACAGCACCGCGAAGGAACCTGTGCCGGGAGAGCCCAGCCGTGTGCTGAGCCGTGCTGAACTGAGCCGCTCGGTCGTCTTCCCTGAGGCTACTGAGCTCCAGTGCTGGTTTTGCAGCTCTTTGATAAGACCATCAGAGAAAAGGGATTCACTCAGAAAGGAATCCATAGAAATAGGTCCTGGTCAGTGATCCAGTCATTTTGGAAGTGAGTGGAGGAATTCATGGTGGTAGATGTTCACTGATCCCCAAATGAGACTAAGCAAAGACATGCATGTTTGCTTGGTCACCTGTGTAGAAGCAAGTATCTTTCATGTTCAGGCCTCATCATCTCTGGCACTGCAGCAGCTAATCAGACCCTGTCCATCTCTCCCTGTACTGCTGGAGGAGTCCCTCTGTAGCCAGGATCTAGCAAGCTGAATAAGCAGCCAGAACTAATTCAGATCGTGCTTGAGCAAATTAATCTAATTATCTGACTGCCAGGATGTAAGAACTAGAACGGAGACTCCCTCAGCAGAGCAGACTGGGACCACTGAATACTGGAAAAAATCTCCGAAGTGCAGGAGAGGCACTTTCCCACTCACCATACCTGGATGATGACAGAGGAGTCAGACAGAGACAGAGCCTCATGCTGTTGAAATGTTATGTCAAAGTGCCACCTCTTCTTAAAACCCTTCCTATGCATTTCAGACCCACGTTGTCCCAGTCCCAAAAATACAAGAGGGTGGAAGAGCAGGAGAATTCCTAGGTGTATCTGGAATAAGGCAAAATAAATCTTCCCTCCTGCTATGACAGAATCAATAATAAACCACAAAGGAGAAGGTATTTAACCTTGCATATTTATTAAATATCATGACAATGGATGTGCAGCATACGGTACAATAACTAACTCTGACAGTGTCCTGTGGTACATAAGCTGGTGCAAGCAGGTAGATGCCTCTAGGGAGGCTACTTTGGAGGTTAAAATCAGGCACAGCGCAGGCATATGGAAGTAATAGGGTAAGAAAAATAAAGTGGGAGAAAGCAAGTGGATTTGCCTTTCTAGAGAATATGATTAATACGTTCTTTGGTGGTAGGGCTGCATAAAATTCTGGGCCTATGTACCTCCTGCCCTCAAAGCGTTTAAATCAGGCGGTGTTTGGTGCTGGAAGATGGGCAGGGCAGGTCACCAACTCACGTGCCAAGCTGTAATCCTGATTGCAGGTTCCAGTGGTCTTTTTTGGCAGCCACTGTGAAGGTGGTGATTAGAGCAGCTTTGGAGGAGACTCGGTTCAGAGCAGTTATGGGGCCTTGGCTCTGGAGAATGAGGTGTTTTCTGTAGTGACACAGCCTTTTCTTTAATGTCTCTGTGCCTCCAGGCATGCTGTATACGTGTGGGGAGGAGGGTGACGTGGTGGCCTGACAGGTCCACAGCCTGTAATCACCACAGCAGTGAGCAGGGCACAGCGCAGCGGGCTTCGGCACAGCGCCTGGCTGGACAGCTGTGCCTTTACCTGTTCAGAGGTCGAAAGGATGGAGACAGGAGGGCGTGCTGCCGTTCTGCCAGCCTCTTCTCAGTGCAGAGAAGTACTTTATTAGGCTATCTAACCAAGCTTAATGAGAAATTAATGGGAAATATCCCACATAGAGTGTTCAGCAACGCCCACCTGTCCAACAAGAATTCCTGCCTGGGAGCATCGCTGATCTACAGCATGAAAAATACGCTGCCTTCACGTAGGCTAAACATTTTGTGAGTGTGTGATGTGTGATTTTTACTCATGAGGTAAGATTAAGATTCTGAGATTCCCTTTGTCTTGATTTTTACCCACAAGGTAGCTCGGGTTGAGCGAGCTAGTAAAGCTTACATCGCTATTGACCTAAGTAAAGCATCAAAATAGCAAGAAATCAAAGTGTCCCTCCACTCCTATTTATGGTTTTCAGATCAGCTGTTTTGGACCTAGTTCTGTGCATCAATTTTTGAAGTACAGCAACAGAATATGTGGTTTCATCATGGCACGGTCATTACTTGGATGCTGAGAGTACTCGGCTTCTCAGCAGATCCACAACACATGCAGGGGATGACAGAATCTCACTGAGATCTCAGGCTTTACCACCTAAAATAGTCTCATAACATTCCTTGTAGATGCTTTCAGCTGAAAAGTATATTGGCATTGTGTAACGCAGAGAAAGAAGAAAATTTCAATGCTTTCGTTATGGAATTAGTAAAATTGTGATTGACTGAAAAATGAATCTGTAAGATCAAGAGCTGATAATGTGGGGACTTGAATCCTCCTCAGTGTCTGAACATTCTGCTAAATGTTTTTGCTATGAAATCTTCAGCGTCAGTTTTTATTAGTTTGAACCGAGCTCACCTCTGTAACTATTTTTTCTCTTACTCTCTATTCATCTCAACCACTAAAGTTTTTTTCTCACTGCTATCACACAATAATTTATCTCTACATGTAAAAATAGTTTTTTACTATTTTTAATCAGCCTTTTTTCTTTATTACTGATTGTTTGGGTGGTTTATTGGAAGCTAAAAATATTTCATATAAATCGCTTCCAGAGAGTGCTATTCAGTGATATCTCATAAACGCTGCTAGCATCAGCACAATACAAAAAGTTAATTTGCACAAGGTTAACCCAACAAGCTCTGGGACTGGTACGTTCTGTTTAATCTTAAATGAGATAAAGTTATTAATTTTATATAGTTTTAATTTTCACATTAACATTGTCTTTTGCAAAGCATAATCACATTCCTGTTGTTTGTAATACTGTAGTCCTTTTAGTTAGGGCAGTTCTCTACAGAGGAGGACAGGGTGCCTTCCTGAAGAGCTCACTCCTTGCATAGACAAGACAGGCAGAAAAAGGGGACACCAGAGAGTGGCATGATTTGCCAAAGGTCACACCACAAGCCATCAGCAAAGTAAGAAGCAGAATCCAAATTGCCTGAACCTCATTCCAGTACTGTATCCAGTGACCGTGCTGCCTCTTAATATGTCGCTGTTCTTATTGTTCTTTCTTTATAGTTCGGGATCGGGTACGATCAAAAATGGAGAGAGATATTTTGGCAGAAGTGAATCATCCTTTCATAGTCAAGCTTCATTATGGTAACTATAATAAAATACAATTCATGTTTGTTCTTAAATTGGTTGGGGAATTGTAACTAGATGTGTTATAATTTCGTACAGATACCCCCTGCCTACTTATGACTCTGTCTCTAACAAAATCATAGAGGTTACCTGTGTGAAATTCTTCATTTGTGCTAAAGGAGAATTTCAGTATAAGTAGGTTTTAGCCATTCCTCCATCCAAGTACATTTGTCATGAAGTCTAACGTGATAGATTGTGCTGGTGGGGTAGCTGGTGAGTATACATCTGCCAACCCCCTCACCTGCTGTCAGGTATAATTTAGAAAACCAGAGAATCTAAATAAAAACTATTTTTAATAATCAGCATCAGTCCAAATTTGCATATGTGTGTATATGAATGTGGTGTCTTGCTGGAGTTGCCTTCCTCCGCCTCACCAGGTCCCGAAGGAGCCCCACATTTTGAATAGTGTGGGCTCTCCCCTCACACAAACCTAGGAGTTTCTCTCTATGCCTCGCCCTCAGTGACTCCTGTATTTTGTGCAATGGAAAGCAATATTAATTCATAGGTGCTTAGCAAGGAAAAGAATGTATTAGTAATGCGTCGTTGTCTCTCAGCTGATACCATTTTTTCCCGTAGTTTAAGCTCAATTGCTTAGTTCTATAGAAAAATTAAATTTTTCTGTTCTCAAAGTGCTGAGATGACAGGGAAGATAACGGCATGAATGATACACTGCTAGTCAACAAGATTAATTATTTGGAGACTTTATCTTGATTCAAACTTCCAACATCTCCATCCTTTTCTAATGCAGCATTTCAAACAGAGGGAAAGTTGTATCTAATACTAGATTTCCTGCGGGGAGGGGACCTTTTCACAAGACTCTCCAAAGAGGTAAGCTGATAGATTTTAACTTTAGAAATGAAAGACTGTCCTGATTTCCAGAACTCAGATGAAGTTGGTGGGAATGAAAAACAGCCTTGGGAATAGTCCTGCTATGTATATGTAATAGAGCTGTATCAGCTTGCATCTTTAAGTGTGGTCTTAAGAATTGTATTTGAATTATGCCATAGGTACTGCAGCAGGTAGCATGTAAGCATCACTGTTGGAGAAAACTGCACCACTACTACGCCATTCCCATAGCAAAATAGCCCCAGACTCATAGTTCACAGAATATATCTTGGATGTGATGAGAAACAGTCTGAGAAACCAATCCTCCATACATTTTGCCCAGGACATGGGCAGAGAACTGCTGGAAAATCACAACCGCTGCCAGCAGAAAGAAGAGATGGCCGCAGGTCAGGGCCCGACCCCTGCAGCAAGCATGCAGACAGCAGGCCATCAGCCGGCCAGCGGGGAAAGAGCCGTCTCCTGCAGCAGCTGCTGGGAGCAGGTTGCAGGCCACGCGCCGCCCCAGGGCTGGGAGGTTGGCTGTCACACCCCTCGCCGGCTCTCCTCCTGCCTGCCTGGGGGCAGCTGCTGCTTCCGTCACCTCCTGGGCTCCCATCCTTCCCTGTCCTCCGCAGCTCCTGCCCCAGGGAGGTGCTGCTGCAGGAGAAAAAGGCAGCTAGGAAAAGGCCCAAACTTGAGTCTCGCTAATGCCCACAGAGAGCGGCAGCAGCAGGTTTTCTAGGTTCATTTAGCACTTGCCTGCATCTCCAAATGCCTCTTCAAGCCAGCTGTCTGCATTGCTTGAAGCAGTGCATCCTCCTGCATTGAGCCTCAGAGAGTCTTGCAGGCAGTATGGGAGGCTCCAGCGAGGCAGCCCTGCCACCCCCAGGGGCTCATCTGTGCCCCGGCGTTCTCTGTCACCAACATGATGTCCCCAGCCCTTGGCCTCTTTCCAGGCTGGGAAGGGGCCAGGGATGCCAGCAACCACCTAACACACAATCTTTAAAGATAAAAGAGGGACCTTTCAAATGCCATCTTGAGAGGAAGCTGTGTTCGCTCTTTTTGATTTGGGGAGTTACTGATGGACTAAAAAAGCTGTGAAAACAGTACTTTCATTCAAAAGTTCTCTAGCTTTTTTTTTTCCCATCTGATTCCTGGTTCAGTGACATGCTGCAGGCTGCTGTGTGTGCCACAGCTTGGGAGCCCAAGTATTTGCTTTTAAGGCTTGTTTGCTAATGCGAGAAGACATTAGCAACAGGTTAATTACACTGCCGAGTAATGATACTCGTATAAGTACATAGTACATGGCAGCAGTTATTTTTAATATGTGGAAAAAGATTAAAGAAAATAAAAATATCCTTCTGCTGTTTGCCATGAAATCAGGCTTTGTCAGTGACACAGCGTGCTGTCTTAGCAAGGGCCTCTCCGGTGTCATGGGAGAAGAGAGAAAAAGTGATTCTTGCCTACAGAGGGCAGCTATACGTTCTGCACAGTTAGGGAACTCGAAGTTCCCTAAGTGAAAGTGAAAGGCAACAGCTCGGATTTTGTACTACTTTAAAAATTCAGATTTTCTCCAAAGCTTTTCCAATGCAATCTCTTGATTTCTCTGCTTTATACTATCAAGAATGAGTCCTCTTAACTTGACAGTCCTTTTACACATAATTCTTTTTTCAGTGATTACAGCTCATCTTGTCTACTTATACTTTGCAGCTGTTTAGTAGTGGCAAGGTATCGCAAGGAAAGACCTTATGGGAAAACTTGTACTGCTTGCAATTTGTTAATTACGGACTTGGTACAACGGTATTGATTTCAGTGAACTTTCCGTCAGACCCTCTATACTACAGCATGTGTGCGTGCAAAGCTTGTCTCTTGCTCTGTCTTTCTGAGATGTCTGACTTTAGCTGGGTGTGTCTGTATAGATTAGATTTTCTCTGATTCTATTGATTTCATCTCTTGCCTACATTATTTATTTTAAACCTTCTAAATAATTTAAATTTATTTTGATAATTAATGCAATTTTTATGTTGAGACCAATTCAATTTTTAGTCAGAATTTTTGCTTGTGTGTCCTTTTTCTTTCTAGCCTTTGCAGCGATATTCTTAATTAAATTATGTGACATCTGTTCTCTGAATCCTTTATTTTTGCTCTCAGCCTTCTGCAGCTTCTCAGAGCACTCAAGTATTGTGGCTGCCCCTTTCCAAGAGCAGAGACTTAATTTTAAAAATAAGCTCGGCAACTTCTACTGTAGATACTTAAATTTACATATGACGTAAATTTTTATTGAGCTGAATCATTTTACTTCTGTCATACATAGTATTCACAATTGTGTATGCAATATATGAACCTCTCTTTCTGCATTATTATTGCTGCACATACTGAAATTTAATTGAAGAGAAATTAATATCGTCTGAGATATAATGACAGTTGAACCAAAGGGGTTTCTTGCCATCTTAGCTCAATTTTTCTGAGCTCAATGTTTTTTCTATTGCAGGAGTTTCTTCCCACTTAAAACAGAACTTTCAGTGTGAGTAGTAGCCATATCAGCTATAGAAAGGAAACAACTGCCCTCAGTTTAGACCTCATCAGGCCCTGGATGTTAGACAGTGCATCATTGCTTAGGGCATCTGCACTGAGATTCCTTGAACCCTCGACGCACGGGGGTTTAAATCCATCTCTGAGTCCCTGCTCATGTTTGGGAACTAAATGTGTTTTGGTTTCTAAAATAAGAAGCATTTCACTTCCCCAGAGAGGTTACCCCATATTATTTTGTGGGAATTTGGTAACCAAATGCCAAGATTTTAGCAAATTAAGAGATTTGAAAGCAATAAGGGCTGCACTGAACACATTGAATTTTGCCGTTCATTTCCAAAGGCTAAGGAGTTAGAACCTTATTCATCTTATTGCGACATGTCATCATCTAAACAGATCAAACAGACAAATGAGAGCAGCATGTTTTAAGGAACAGAAGTACTCGAGAGATCAAGTTTTGTTTTATGAGGAGAATCTGGTAAGAATTGTTAATCTGAGCTCAGACAAATTATGGAAAATTGAACCTGATATGATGGTCCTTCCAGCATTCCCAAGTTAGGCAATTCCTTCCCCATGTCTGTTTAATGCAAGCCAGCCCACCACTGTCCAGTAAATAGACGTGTTCTTCTCTTCCTTCTGTCTAGGTGATGTTTACAGAAGAGGATGTCAAGTTCTACTTAGCTGAGCTGGCCTTGGCATTAGACCACCTCCATGGTCTTGGAATTATTTACAGGGATCTAAAACCAGAAAAGTAAGTTAATGAGAAAGAATGAACCGAAATGAAAATATGTGAGCTTTTAGGTTGTTTCTGCTCCTTGTCACGCTAGTAAGTCAAAAGGTGCCAGAGGCTCTGCCTTCCTTCTTGTGTGTGAGACTCCATACATGAGACCCTCACCATCAGGAGTAGCGTCTTCCTATTGTATCATTTTAGCATGAGGCCAAATACTTCGACTCTGTTCCAGTATGCTGTGGCCTCTGTGTGCCTGGCCTTCAGTTTAGTGAACGATCTCAACGCGGGATTCAGATCTCTGTGCCTTTGACTTCAGTAGCACTGTTCTCCATTTGCAACATTTAATCTGGCCTTCCCCTTGGTGTGGTATAAACTGCTCGAAGCACCTCCACTTCCAGCTCATACAAAATATGTCGTGGCACCGCTCAGTTTTATTGTAGCCATTATTTAAAGTAAATGAGCATCTCTGAAAACTAGTGTGCATATTAGCTCATGAGACACACGATAATCAGGATTTTAAAAACACTTTTATTAATGATCCAAAATATTGTCCCAAGAATTATTCCCTCTTATATTTGCAGCTATTTTCTATTCCTAATGTGGTGCTATGGAGGTTTTTCCTTTCTCTTTTTTCTTTGCAGTATGTCAATAGACTAAATTACACCCTCAGTGCTATCACTGGGAGTGATTTGATACTGTTTTTATTCCGTGCCACTTGCCTGGTGCTTTGCCTGCATCTTCTGTGTCGGCTCCAATAAAACAGGCTGAACAACATTTCAAAGTAACTAGCCTTTTTAATGTAATGGTCACCGTCATTTAAAAAAGATGACCACTGAGAGCAGTCTGTTTGGCTGTTGTTTACAGTCCCAAAGTATAACAGCAGAGCAGCCTTTTCCTTCTGTGACGTGAAGTTCAAAAATATGCAGCTCTTTCTTTAAAACGGAGTGCTGTTGCTTTCACACTCATGGACAAAATAAGAGACCAAGAGTAATGGAAGGTGAATTTTGTAGGTGAGAAGTTGAAGGGGGGGAGACTATTTATCTACAAGACAGTACTATGTGATTTAAACTTTAAATTCAATTTTATGTTTTGGTTACAACAGTAATAGCAGTAGTACTATATGAATTCATTCAGATGTACGTAACCAGAGCTCTCAGTCCTTTGGGCTAGAGACCCTTTCGCAGGTGACCAAAATTTCCAGTCTTGCCCATTTATGCAACCAAAACTGAAAACCAGAGTCCTTGGCAAATACAGGAAGTCATCCTCCAAATTAAACCACTGGAGGATAAAGGTACCGGTTTGTTACACAATATGAAATGCAGGTAGGCAGCGGTCACACCATAGCCGCCACTGCCATGTGCTGTTGCATCGTCCGCCAGCAGCTCTTCGGTTTCAGCTTCATTCTGAATTGCTATTTTATTCATTCAGCATCAACAAACATGTACGTAATATGTACATGTACATAATAGAATAACTCCAATTACAGGTTTTCAGTTTTAAACTTTGTTTCTAGTGAGTGTTAGTATGAATCGTGTACTGCTTTTCTTTCTGGTGTTGGATGAAGCTGTTTTGCAAGCTAACACGATATATGAAGCTGTATTAGAAGGTATCCAAATATGAGCCTGTATATTCAAATATAAGTCATGGTGCTGTTACATTTATAGGCGCATGCCATAATTTTTTGCTTTAGGAGAAATTAGAAACTGAGAGGAAAATTACGTGCATGTCAAAACTGTTCACTGTATTTGAGATACTGAAAGCCTGATTTTTCAGAGTTCTCAGCATTACGTGTCACTTTGCATTTCAAAGCACATCTCTCACTGACTTCAGCTGCAAGTGAGATCACTTAAAATTTCTGCAGGCCAAACTGCAGTGTCTCAAATCAGGGATCAGTGAATTGAGAAATCAGAACTCACCTAAGAAAGGAAGGTGTCACTAATTTGCCATTGTCGCACAGAAACATGTCGAAAAGGCAAAGATGGAACCCAGTTCTCTGCGTTTTCGTCTGAGCTGAAACCAGCCAGCCATCCCCTTCACTGTACCACTCTGCTAAAATCCCTGAGTATATTATCTGTTCTGCCAACTGAGGCAAGAGCTCTCTGGAAGAAAACAAAAAGTATCATCATGTAATTAAAGACCTTTATACAGTGAGATCACTGTGTAAAGTTAAGGAGGCAGCCCTCATTCTGCCATTTCCTAACTTTTGCATGTATGGTTTATGGTCTTTGATGTCTAGTTAAATAGATACCAGAGGTACAGTTGAATCTGGATGCAACTGTCATAGTATAAAATTACTGTACATGAATATAACTATTGTTGTACAGGAAAGGGAATCACCCAGACTGGTATAACTGAAGTTCGTACCTGGGGATAAATCAAGGCATCTGTTTGACTGAAAACCATATCCTTTAAAAATAACTTTGTAAGTGTAAAGCCTATGTGTAGCCATGCCTAGGACAGCAGGGCATGACAGCCTATGATTTCACTGGAACTTTAGGTTTAGAGTAAAAAAACAAGTACAGCAGAAAAAAAAATTCATTCTGAAGGGAAAAAAGTGCTATATTTTAAAGTTACATCTGGAAAAGGATAGCTCTCTAAATAAGATGATAAAAGAAATTTAGGACCATCCCAGGATGTTCTCATCCTCCCCTTGCCTCTGAGAAGGGTCAAATATAACAAGGTCATTACAGATGTGTTGCTAACCTATTGTTAAAATAGCTGGTGGAGACTCCATGACCTCCGTAGGAGGTCTCTTGGCAGTGCTCCCCCAGTTGTACATCTAGAAAGTTGCTCCTAATAGCTAATTTCTTTGAAATTTCTTTGCTGCAGTTGCAGGCCATTGCTCCTTGGCCTGTCCTTCTAGACTCCCCAGCCAGTTCGTTCTGCTCTCAGCATCAGCCTCAGGGGATTGCAAGCACGTCCGTGTCCTCAGACCTCTCTTCTGTACCCTAAACAGTCCAGCTACCAAACTCTTCTTCACCAGTCAGTCTTTCTGGGTGTTCGGTCATTCTCGTTCCCCTCTTTTGGTTTCTCTTGATCCGTTATCTCCTGTAATTCCTGCAGAATTACACCCACGTCTTCAGGAGAAGCATTATTTTGGTTTTTCTTGATCCGTATCTCCTGTAATTCCTGCAGAATTACACCCACGTCTTCAGGAGAAGCATTACCAGTCTGATTAGAGCACAAGGTTTACTCTATCAGATTTGCAAAGCTGGAGATTAATGAATTAGTTTGTAATTTCCCAATTCTCTCTCTCCCCCTTTGTTAAAAGATAGGCACTGCATTTGACCTTCTTTCATTGTTCAGTGTTTTTGCTGTCCTCCAGAAGTTCCCAAAAGTAACTGCTAATAGGTTTGAGATTGCTTCGGTCAGCTCTGTAAGTATCCTAAAAGGAAGTTCGTTGGAATTGTTTATGTCAAAGACGACTAGTTAGAAAATAACACTGTTCAGACCACTTGAAAGAACCCTCAGTACGTTAAAATTTAAGGTTCAGCATTTTTTTAAGATTCCCTGAGCAAAAATCCTTATTAACAATTCAAAGCTATGAATTAATTTTAAGTGCAAGCAGAATATATACTCTGGGAGTTGCTACAAAGTTGGCTGTACTTACTTCAAAAAGGCAAGCAATTGAGTTTTCTGGTTAAAGTCTTGTTTAGAACAAGCAGATGCGTCTTCCGTTTCATTGTTGCAGCCAAATTCTTCTGGAGTTGTCTTGGTGGTTTCAGTGGCATCCCTTGTGGAACAAGGTACTGTTCAGTCACACTGAAACCAGTGGAGTTACATGGTGAGGCATGTTTCTGTTTAAGAACTGCAGGTTCAAGCTATTAAATATGGCTATACTGAAATAGAAAAATAGGAACTTATTATAAAGTAGTATATGATGCATATGTTATCTCTTATGCTGTGGTTTAAGGGTATGAGTGACTTACAAGTAACTCTACCTTCTGAGGATGCACAGATTTTTATATTTATTTTTGCCTTTTCTATCTCCAGGTACCCAGATGCACCTTGATACAGTTCTGTTGCAGGGGCTTTGATTACAAGGAGCAGCTTACGTTGTAATGCCCTCAGCTGTCTGTACAAGGGACAGCTCGTATAACTGCTCATGTAACAACTCCTGAATTGTTGAACTATATTAAAAAAACCCAAACCACCGCTGCTTAATGCAGCATGTTGTAAACCGTGGCAATGCATTCATTCACGTAGCTGCCCTGTGTAGAGAGGGAAGATCTGAGAATCAGTAAAGGACAAAGACTTTTGGTGGAAAATCACCACCGTCTTCCATCAAGTAAGCAGTCAATGAAGCTACAGCAGAGATGAGTTTTGCGTAAGACTGTTCAGCGTGGTGAGATAGTGTGTGGTCGTGCAAGCACTGAAATGTCACAAAAGGTGGACAGTTTGTGAGAATCTTCATCTCTTTGGGAGACATTTGAATACTTCACTCTATCTGGCACTTTCATAACAAAGCCTGCAATCAAATTAAACACTCTTTATGAAGTTTTAGGTTTTCTTTCCAACCTGAAATTTTGGCTACAATTTCCAAAAAACATAAAGTGTGGATTGAATTTTCTGTACAACTGAGCTGACATGGAAAGAAACTTAAATCATCAAAAAAAACCCCAGAGTTCCAGCTTTAATAAATTTGGCAGAACTTCACAATGATTTGGGTATATTGGAGTTCAAAGTGAAGCCTAAAAGACATGACTCAAAACTAAAAGTAGAGAGAGAAAAATGGGAGAGAATTGCTATAGCCTTGATTTAAGAGTCACTATAAAATAATGTCTACAACTAGTAACAAAGATTTTTTATCCCTGTGCTAAAGTTGCAGCAAAAAAACTAAGGACTTTGCAGTCTGAGCTCTACTATGAGCTTCTCCTGTAACTTGGAGTATGTCATTCCCCTGCTACTGAATTAGTTTCCCAGCCTCTAACGTGGAGATTTTCAGCCTTTATTTTCTCAAAGCATATTTTTAAGCTGAGGTCAATGAAAGCAGTTTGAATGTTTGTGGGATGATCCTGAGGCTAAAATGTTGTTATTGTTTTGAAATAAAGAACAGGTTGACAATGATAATATCCTGTAAACACACTCAAACCTTAAACTGAACAAATAAAATGGAAAAATCTCATAGTGAAAGGCTATCACTCAATGGGATTATAGCCTAGTTTAACATTTAAGAGTAGTCTACTTCTTATGTTTTTTATAATTTCAAAACATTGATTTAGAGGAAAGATTTTTCTCAAGCCTGAATCACATTAACAACTTCTGGTTCTTTTTTCCCTTCCGCAAAATAATACTAGCTTATTTCAGATTAGCTGATCCTGCAAACCATAGCTAAAGTAATTGTGATTGTCACAACAGAATTTCTACTACGGACAGTGTGGGATAAAAAGGGACTGTAAAGCGATAAAGATAAAAAGAGAAGACAGAAAGTATGATCATCAGATAGTAAGTTTGCTTCTACAGTCAAAGGACAACTATTTGTCTGTTGTAATTCGGATGTTCAGAAGCAGGTACATCGTTATTTGCTTCTTACTGTCACTCTAAGCTAATTCAGTGCAACAGTTATCTTTTTTCTCACTGTTAGCATATTATTTTCTTTTTACATCAAATGTAATTTTCAGTTCATAACCGTAGCGTTATATGTGTTGGCAGGTGGCAAATGTGGAAACACCCAGCTGTCCAAAGGGTGCTGCCAGGGGCAGCCGCACAGGGGAAGCTGCAGGCAGCTGAGGGCACCGTAAGGGTGGTTAGGGAACACGAGACAGAGGAGGGAACTGTAGACCAAGTTTTAGGGGATATAGGATACACATCCATAGGAAACCGGGACCCGTTCATTTTGCTGCTCATGCAGACATTCGGTGTGAGAAAGTCTGTTGTATGCTTCTGGCTCACTTAACCTAAGACAGCATTATCAGTCTGATAGCTGCGTTGGTATTGCCTCCATCCCTTTAATGAGGGTAAGGTATGAACCCTCTAATGAGGGCAAAGGTATGAAAAACTTATCTTGTATACATAGAAAAGCAGCATGGATTTTCAATAGGAAATCTATGAAATATAAAATCAATGTTTCTGGGGAAAATCCCGCGACCTTTGAATTGCATTGTTATTCACAGGAGCTTCCTGGGTGTGGGGCAAAATTCTGGGTGATTTCTGCGACCTGTACTCCCCCTTGCCGGTTTTCCAGAGCCAGGTCTGTGGAGTTCATACGTTCACGCTCACTTCCACATTGGCAGGTGTTTTATTCTGTTCTCTTCTGAAGCACAAGCCTCTCGTTTAGGGATTGCAGTCACAAAAATACATTTAAAACATGCCTGTTATAGGCTAGTCCTTAAAAATTATGCCTCTTCAAGAAACCTGGGGAGAAAGAATAGAGGTAAAGATGCTTTTATCGAGAAGAAAAAGCTTTAATTATTGAACACATAGTAGTAACTCAGCTGCTGGCCTTTGTTGAATGACAGAATAACAGTCTCTTCTAAACACACAAACGAATGACAGAAGATCATCTCTTTTCAATTAAGTTTCAGTACAGAGACAACCTTTCACAAAAGTATATCTCAATGTGTTTGTTTCACTTCTGTCTTATTTTCTTCCTGAATAATTGGATTAAAGTGACTCTCCAAGAGAAGGGGAATATAAAAATAGCTGACACCTCGCTAGACCGTTTTGAAAAAGAGAAATATACTAAATCTAACTAGAACTGAAGAGACACCACCCTCATTACTGAATCGGTATTTATAGGCAAAAATCATTATTTTCCAGTTTCAGTGTTCCTTCTTGTTTCCATAAAAACTAGCAGTGCTTTTTGTGAACTACAGTCATTTTTTTCACAGAAATGTTGGAGTGCCTTTGTGAGAATAAAATATGTTGGCAGGTGGCAAACATGAGAACACTTGAACTTGGCTTCCAGGCTGAATTTTCATTTATGCTTCCGGGCAGAATAAATTAGCAGGGGCTGAGATCCATGCAGTTAGTCTGTGACTAGTCATTATGTTCTACAGTCACTTTTATTGCTTCAGCATGAACGTGTCTACCTTTGGAGTTAATTTTAGGTCCAGTGAGTCCAAGCGCTGATTATTTGTGTGCTTGCCTTTAGTATTATGAGAAGAGCAGAAAACCTGTAGCTCCTTCTCCTGCTGGAAGCAGATACTCTGCAGTTGTTGGCTTTGAACACCCTGTTCTTTCTGAGCTGTTTGCATGCCCACCCTGAGCATGCTATGAAGGAAAGAGGAGGCTCCCCGTGCAACTGCTGCAGGCCGTGTGTGCTTCAGACATGAGATTAGATGGGCCTTTGAGGATCATTTTTCTTTCTGGAGGCATATAATCCACTGGGGGTTTGTTTACACATGTATTTGAGTCTTGCATATCTCCTTACCTGTCTTAAAGATGTTTTATTCATGTTTATTAACTGCACTCTGTGCCTGCCTAATGAATGAATGTTTGCTTTTTCGCTTTACAGCATTCTTCTTGATGAAGAGGGCCACATTAAGATAACAGGTACGTGAGGAATGGAAAACTTAATGTCTACAGGCTGGGTTTTTTTCTGCAGTGTGTTCCGTGCATCTTGATCTTTGCGTGAAAAGAGTTTGCTTACAAAAACTCAGAAGCCAGAAGAGTCTGAGTGTTGGGGTTCTCTTCTCTGGCAATTCATCAAGCACCCGTGCTGCACAGCAGATGGAGAACATAGTGTTTTCTTGGTAAAATTGTACTCCTGACTGGTGTGAAGCATGCAGGCTTGGCTGCCTACCACCATGGACGGAAGGGTACTTCCAGTATGACTGCTTACTCCAGATTAAATTCTCTGAATTATCACTGTGCAGAGGACACCTGGAAAGACATCCCTTTGCCGCCCTGGAGGTGCTGTCTGGCCATCCTTTTCACTGTTGTCCATCTGGGATTATTATTCCTAATGCTTTGGTTATCTGAGCAAGAATCCTTACCAGCATTGTCTTCACCAAACCTGAACTATGTGTTTCTGTCTATTTAAACTCTCTCTTCTGCTTTGGGCCAGAACCTCATTCTGAACAGAGAAAATGGTACACGTACTTTCAGGACATCTTAACAAATGCCAACCAGGCACTCCACGTAGGCAGGGACTCCACGTAGGCAGGGCTTCACCGCGTGCCTGTGGCCTTTCTGCATGCAGACAGAAGGGTGCTTCATCAGCTGGTGGGTGTGTTTTGTTTGAACAGTTTAAGTGGCCAAAAATGTAAATAAGACCTGACAAGTCTTTTTTGTTTCAATTTATTTAGATTTTGGTCTGAGTAAAGAAGCCATCGACCATGACAAGAGAGCGTATTCATTCTGTGGGACAATAGAGTATATGGCCCCAGAGGTGGTCAACCGCCGGGGACACACGCAGAGTGCCGACTGGTGGTCTTTCGGCGTACTCATGGTAATGGAAAAGTCATGTTTGTTTGTTGGAGGGGTGGCTGTAGGAGTGATCAGAACCCTCAGATAAAAAGTACCGCTTTCAGCAATTAAGGATTGATAGGGAAGTAGATGTGTAGTGATTGCTTAATCGTTTTCATGGCATCAGCGATAGGGAACCAGGTGCTCCTGGCAGTATATGAGGTAGCATTTGGCCCCAGATTCTCTCTCTTCCTTCTCACAGTCCTTTGCTGTCTCTGTTGGTGAGAGCAGAGCCATGAGTATTTCCATTCCACAGAAACAGGGCAGGGCAAGCTCAGAAGAGCTCAAACATTTCAGAAGAAACATCTGCCTAGCTACTAATGTGGTTCCTGTTAGGAAACAATTCCCCAGGCAGCAATTTTTAGAGGTTAGGGATATCCTCTTAGAGAAACTCAGACGTTTACTCTCTCTTTCTGCAAAATATAGATCAAAAAAGACATATTTTAGAGGGCACTCTGAATGTTTCACAGGACCTCAGTGGTTCTTTTACCATTCATCTATCTTCTTCACATCAACATCGCTGATTCTTGTTCCACTAATGAGAATCAGGTAGTTTTTGGACTATCTGGCACTGGATTTCTAGTCAGTCTTATTAGCTGGTGGGAGACTGTCACTCAAGAACCTCTCTTTTCTCCTGGTGGGAAAAGAAAACAAATACATGCAGGCACCATGTCATCCTCTTTTCTTCTTCTGTACCATTTTGCTGTGTCTTGATTATGACTAGTTTGGGCTATTTGCTTTGTCCTGAGTGCATGCTGAAGCTGGTTTTAAACTGACATATGTGAAACTTCTAAAATAACTTCTCTTCACAGGGAGGAAATCACCAGAAGCAGACACAAATCTATCAGTTGACACAGAGGAATAGTTAGGAATTCATCTTTTTCTTACATGTCTTTGCATTGGATTAACTATTGAAGGGGAAATTCTAATTGTAACTGCTCAGAGGTGGTAATTTGTGACTGAGGAATATCTGGCACGGAGGGCAAGAAGGCCCATTCCCCAACACTATAAAAAAATAGCAATTTTTCCACACTGTTGCTTAACTTTTAAGAGTCCTGCAAGATATTCTGGAGGTAGTTTAAATGGAATCAATATTTGTAACTGTGCTAATTCATTTTTTATGCATGGAATTCAATTAAAAGTTAGTTAAAAATCAACATGAATTTACCAAAAATCAGTCATGCTAGATTAATCTGATATTTTACTTGATAAGGTAGCCATCTTTTTCTAAACAAAGTAAATGAAGTGGATCTCATGTGCCTGCATTATAATAAAGTGTTTGGTACAGCGTTGCAGGGGAAATTCATTAATTGAAGATGCTTATTAGTCCAATAATGGTCCAAAGATGGTATAGTACCTATACCATCTATGAATACATCACAGGGAAAAACACCACAGAGAGAAAGGAGCGATTTAGGCTAGAGAGTAATGTTTCCCTGAAAGCAGATAGGAATAAACTCATTATGAAATATAGTTTGCCTGGAAAATAGAAGAAAGCTCCCCACTGCTTAACAAGTGAGGTCCTGGAAAACGCTTTCCAAGAAGAGCTCTGCAAGAGATATCTAATAACTACAGTGGAGCTGCTTGGCTTATGAGAAGGACCCAATAACATCCTTCTGAGTGCTGCAGTATTTGACACTGGGATGCAGTGTCAGGAAAGTTTTTCAGAGAGCTATTGAATCCACCACACGCCAGCCATCTAAAATTAGATCTTCGAGCACTAACCTGCTCCCTCCTGCACCCGTCCAGCCTCTTCAGTCTGTGGTGCCATTGCTGCTGAGGAGGATGAAGGGAAGATCAAGGAGAAGTTGTTTTGTGACGCTGTGATTTTTTAAAAGCTATGTGAACGCTGTAGGTTTTTTGAAGCAGTTATTCCTAGCATCATTTTATCAAGCACAGTGCTGTCCCTTGAGCTTTTATTACTTTCTCAGGGATATATTCAGATAATGAAGGTGATGCTGCTCTCTCCTGAAGTGTGCAGGCTGCAGGTCTACCCAAGTGCTCAGTGCATGGCCACTAATGGGCAAGGCAACGCAGCGCAGCACTGCAGCTGTGCCTCACATTGCACCTCACCATGGTTATCACGGCTCCCCTGCAGAACCAGGACAGAAGCATAAATTAACATAGCAACCTGCTCTTCTAATACAGCTCCATTTCCTGTGGTACTGAAGCTCTTTTAGGTAGCTATATGTTACACTGCAGCCCACAATCCATAGAGTGTGTTTAAATGTTGTTTACCCTCAGTAGACAACTGTGTCACCAAAGGAAGTAAGGATAGGAAGCAATGTGAAAACTAGTGAAAATTTGGTGTGGGGAGGGCCTGCATCACTGATCTAGCTGGTTGACAGCAGTTAATCTAAGTAAATAATTTATTACCTGAATTTAAAAGAATTAAAAAGCTTATCTTCTATGGCCACAAATCCATTTGTGGATGCTCAGCACTTCTGAACCACATATGTTTATACAGGAAAATCAATAGGTTATGTGTCATATAAGAAATATATCCCAACCCTTTAAATTTTTTTATTGTATGTTTAGTTCTGGAGGATAGCTGTGCCTTCTCACTGTCTGTCTCCAGTTAAAAAGACATGACGGTGTATTTGGTGCATAGATTGTTTTTCTTTCACCTGCTAATGAACTTGGCTCCTTCCCGCCTGGTTTTTGCTAGGCTTTTTTTTTTTTTTCCTCCATCTCTCTTTTCATCCCCTCCCCGAGGGATTCAATGTATTAGAATTAGAAAAGATAAGAATCCATGTAAAAGGAGATGAGTTAAAGAGAGTAAAATCATTTTAACTGTAAGCTAATGCTTTAAGCCTTTGAATGCTACCAGACTTCTTAGAGAAAAATAGCTTTAATCAGTTCAATCTTTTTTCCTTTTTAACAATTAACTGATTGGGGCAGAAAAAGGGTATTTCCATACACTAAAAGTGCAGGAGGATTTTTTGGTGCTGTCTTTCACTCTGCTCATCTCTCCTTGTTTTCATTGGTCTGTCACTTGTATGTTCTGTTAGGGAAGCTGTTTTTCTGCCAGTCTGAAAAACTGAAGAGAATTAAATGGTATCTAAATGATTTATTAGCATTTCTCTCTAAGTAATTTGCAGTATGATGTGAAATATACAAAGAAAATATACCAGTTGGTGGCATATCCACAGACTGAAAGGAAGTGAATGTGATAGTGTAATTTTCATACCTAAAATTTTGGTCAATAGAGGTAACATGAGGCAGATAGTGACACAGTGGCCTGTAACCTAGCCAGAAGAGCAACCAAACACTCTCTTGTCTGTTTTATTCTGTGAAGCGGGATTAATGCTACAGTACGAAGAGTCGGGTTGTGCTAACAGCTCCTTGCCAACCTGCATTGACCAGGGCACAGGCTACAATCAAACTGAATGATCCTTGAAGGTGACATTAATTGTGGCATGTTGTGATTATTAATATCAAAACAAACTTATCTGAGAAAGATGAAATTCTGGTCTTGTCTTACTAATTAGTTATTAATTATTACTCAGTGGGAGTTTTACTATGAACAACAGTAGAACTTCATTCACCACCAGCTAAGTCTTCGACACAGGCCACAAAACCAAAACTGTTACCTGCTCTGTTCGTTTGCTGCTCAGTTTGTTTGAATTGTTTTATGGTAGCTTAGTATGTGTCAACGGGTATAGTTATACAAATCTTGAAATTCACCCTTTCCAAACATTCCAGAGGACAGTACCTACCTCTCATTTAGTATGTGATGATGACTGCTGGGACCCAATTAAAAGTTTGTGCTGGTGAATTTATGTGGTTTATCATGACCGGACAGATTTCGTTTTCTGCCTTCCTGCATCTTACTCATTGCATTGGAGATTTTGGATAGGACATACTCTACAAAAGCTTTGCATCAAGAGATCTGCACTAACAAGTGATTGACTTAAATTGTTAAACAGTCATGTATATGACTAATATCTTTGCAGCTGCACTGCAATAGCCTTGATGCCCACACTGCCATCACTGAAGCCCAAATAAACTGGTCTGCACAATATAACACGCACAAGTCTCTTGGAAGGCCTCTCAAAGCAGTGGTTTTGTAGTTCATCATACCAGCTGATTTACAAGGCCACAGACCTCATGGAAGTTGTATCTGTTTCAGTTCAGGGAAAAAAAAAACACTGTACACCTTTGAGAGTCATGTGAGCAGAGAGGGGAATATAATTAGAGAAGGAAGGGGTGTGATGACTCACTAGGCAGTCCCAAATAAAAATGAATGTGTTTGCACATGTGTTAGCAGTGATGTCTTCACTTTATTAGTAGTGAAGTCTTCACAAGAAAAGAAAATATCCTTTTGGTATCCAGACAAAGTAGTCAGCTCTGTAGTAATTTTCTGGTAACTGTACAGTGGCCTTGGAAAAATCAGTACGACACATCAAAGCAATACGATCTTCTTTTACAAAATCCCATCATAACACTTGTTTTATTCCCAGTGCAAGGGATGGTCTTCATGAACAGTATTTTGAATGTTTATGCTAGCTGCTATGTGAAGGCATTCAAACCCTTTGTAAACACTAACTCATGCTTCACACCTGGCTAATAATGAAAAATACTTAATACATTCTACAAATGGTAAAACTGAGTGGCTGACTGGCTCCCAGCTACCTGGAAAATGACTGGAAGTGTTGAGAGGGGAACCCGGCTGTCCTGACAAGAGTGTCTCTCTCTGCTCTCCCAAACTGAGTGGTATTAAGTTTCTTTGTAACCCTGAATTTTGTCCTAGGCTCACAATACTTTAGCAGACTTGGGCTGAAGTAATTTGCACAATCTGCTCTCCTTCCATCTGCTAGGAAGATTCATCTGGCAATTACCCCAGGCTGTGGATTTTTTCTTGTTCATTATCTTCCTCAGTGACCTACCAGGGTCACTTCTTGAATCCTTTCCCTCAGGAAATGTGTCCCTCTTTCCCAAGGTCTTCCCACATGTGTATCTTCTGGGGTCTCCAGTGCTGGTGTTTTGCCTACTGAAATTGGCAATTGCCCTGAAAACTAGAGAAAGGAAGCACTGCAGTGTACGTCGAGACCTAAGCAGGGGCTGGATTAGGTGACTCCAGAAGCCCCTTCCCACCGAGCTTTAATTCTGTGGTTCTCTTAATAGGCAGCTGAACTGGAACAGGGAATATTTGCCTTTCTTGCTGAATATTGGTACAGAAAGGAAGTCAAGATTGGAGGGAGGCAAAGCCTTCTGAAGTACTAGCTAACAGAAGGTGGCCCTCCAGAGTACCCAAGAAGCAAATCATTGGGAGGCAAGGAGCAAACAGATGATTTATACAGATGGGGAAGTGGGGAGGGTGAAAACTGAGTCTTCTGGGAGGCAGTGTACGCGAGACCTAAGCAGGGGCTGGATTAGGTGACTCCAGAAGCCCCTTCCCACCGAGCTTTAATTCTGTGGTTCTCTTAATAGGCAGCTGAACTGGAACAGGGAATATTTGCCTTTCTTGCTGAATATTGGTACAGAAAGGAAGTCAAGATTGGAGGGAGGCAAAGCCTTCTGAAGTACTAGCTAACAGAAGGTGGCCCTCCAGAGTACCCAAGAAGCAAATCATTGGGAGGCAAGGAGCAAACAGATGATTTATACAGATGGGGAAGTGGGGAGGGTGAAAACTGAGTCTTCTGGGAGGACTATAGAGTCTGCTTTAATAGCCAAAAATCCTACAGTTTCTTCACACCTAGGCTTAGCTCCTTGTCAACCTGCTGTGACCCATACAACTCTCTATTTATGTGGAAGGATGTTAGCAGCAAGTGCTCACTTCTGTTTGCATGTTTAGGTTTAGCAAGATTCTTGATTTTTTGAAAAAATAAGCGGGAAAACAGGTTGTTGTGCAGTAAAGCAGTAGCTTTAACTGATGAGATGAACTTTTTTTTTTTTTGGTCTTGTTATTTCATTTTTAACCTTCAACAGATGTAATCAGGACTGCAATTGAGAAACCAGTGCTTTCTTCCAGCTGCTGCTCAGTTGAGTTCATTGAAGTAAAAAGCTCTGGTACATTTAACTCATTGTAGCTGCCTTTCACTTTAAATATTGATGTTAAGTGCATTTCTTCTGAATCTGAATTAATCTCAACATTAGACCTGCGTAATTGGCGACACGTGGTACCAAAGTGCTAGCCATTAGTGCAGCGCACTAAATATTCCCTGCAGCCTCCAGGACAGTCATTTCCCCTGCTCCATCCTACAACTTAAATTTCTTTTTTCCCTCCTTCCTCCCCTCTTGGACACTGCATCTGAATTTCTTGACTTCAGGTTTCTCGGCCCCTTGCACCCGTGGTGCATTTGCAGATCTTCTGTGATACCGTGGTGGGTGGGAGCTACAGCCGTCATCTTCCCACATAGTCACTGACCAAGCAGTTGCTTATATCTGTATCATCCGCATCAGCAGTGTCAAGCCCATTTCTGCCAAAATAAATGAGCTGTAGCAGTCATTGTTAGTGCTGTTAAATTAGATTTATTATAACAGAGTAGCATGAGCACGTGTAAGTGAACATTAGGTACTTACCCTGAATGTAAACTCTTTAGAAATTGTGAGGAGGGCTTGGTACAGTATGTGCCACTTCTGCTGCTGCCCTGGGAAGCAATGTTCTCTGCCCTTCATCCCCAGTATATCAACACTTTTATCAGGACTGAGGCTCTAATAGGTCAGAATTACTTTGAAAATGGTGCCTGAGCTCCAGTGTCAGTTAGGCAGTTTTAAAAATTCTTCCCCACCATGTTTCTCTCTAGAAGATGAGCTGCTTTCCTCCAGCTGTACCAGGCAGCTCTTCTCTTGACTCTCCTAGACCAAGCAGGGGTTCACACATTTGTGTTTTTCAAATCTTGGTTATATTGTCAGCCATACACACTTTTAAAAAGTGTTTTTTCCTTGTTTCTACTATGTGTTTTATTACCTCGAGGTAATTTGTTACTAGTGCAGATTAATCCTTCAGTTAATTATAGTCCATTAGTTACCTGGGTTCTAAACCTCTCCTCTGCCCTCCTCCCAAAACTGTTTTAAATAACAGATTCACGGTTACAGTTTTCTTATGCTTTCTTATATTTTTCTTATGGTATGGCTATATTTAATCTGGGAAAAGGGAAGAGTCAGGCTGTGGGGCAGTCTGACATGGGTTTTGGTAATGAAAGGATCCTTTTTTGCACAAATGTGCTTCCTAAGAGCAATGAAGCTACTTGTGTGATAAGGTACAAAAACTACATAAGGGTTGCAGAGTCTGTCCTGCCTTAACAGGTGTTTAATTACAGCAATGAATATTAATTAGTAGGTACTTATTATAGTAGCAGAGATCCAAAGCCTGAGTCACAGACATAAGCAGGTAACTGTTCTCCTTACTCTCAATGGACATTGTCCTCCTTTGTGCCCAGGCTGAATTATGTTCTTGGTGTCTTTGTGTTTGGTGAAGCATCACCTTCATCATCCCTTAGTCAGCGGAACCAGCTCCCACTCATACCCTCGAGAAACACTGTGGCAAGAGCTGCGTGAAAGACCTGGTATTGAATCCATATTAGGCGAGCTTCTTTGTTTGTTTTGGTTTTTACAAATGTGAAATTCCTGTCAAATTTACTGAAAGCACTAATCTGTTTCAAAGGAACCATAACTGCTTGATGTTTTCATGTGTGAGTTAGTTAGGCAAATAATTGATGATGATTGCTGAGTTCTGCTTTGAGATTTGGGTTCAGTTAAATGTGACACTTGCAAAATTCATCACTGGATACAGCCAGGGGAACCAAAGCGGGAGAGAAAAAAGCACGCTCAAATGCCTTGAGAATGTGGGGTTTGTGCATGTTTCTCCTGCAAAGTATATCAGTGGTGTCTTTAAGTGGTGCAAATATACAATCAAAAAGGTGGTTCGACTCAAGCTAAAAAGATGGGGAGCGGCATGTTGAACGCATTTTCCTTGCACCACAGTCCATGCCAAACATCTAAGAACAGCCATACCCATTCAGCCTAAGGGTCCCTCCAGCCAAATATCTCATCTCCAGCATTGGCCATAAAACAGGTGCTGGAGGAAACAGCATATATGACACTTCTTCCCAAACATACCAAAACTTGACCCCAAGTATCAGTGTAAACAGTTTGTAACAAGACTCTTGAATGAAACAGTCATGTTGGTCATTCATGTTCTGCATAACCCAGACTTACTGTGTCATTTTTTTCTGAAGTACAGCCCGTTGGACCATTTCTTTTCCTCAAGTTTTCAGTTGTGTTGGAAATAGAAGGTGGGTGTGGTGTCTATCGGCTATGCAGACCATCTCGACACTCATTTGATTTACCGTTTTGTTGTTACTCCACAGTTTGAGATGCTGACGGGATCATTACCCTTCCAGGGAAAAGACAGAAAGGAGACAATGGCACTCATTCTCAAGTGAGTACCGAAACTGCTTTCGTTCCTCTAACTATGAGTTAACTGTACCCTATGGGCAGCCTGTAGGTCCTATGTATATGAAGGGTAGAGAATAATAATGTGCATAATGCATTTTTCAAAGCTATGTAAGGCATGAATTTGGTAAGGCAGGCACAGCTGATGCCTGCTTGTGGTTCTAAAATTGCCTTCAGCATAAATAGTAGGAAGTGAATTACTGAGTGGGTCTTACAAAAGAAATGTATCTTACTTTCTGTAATAAAGGATGTCATTAGCCACACAAAAGTAGGAACAGTCAAATTTCTGCAGGACAGCTTATGTTTTGTCATTGCCAAGTTTCAAATCTTTTCCTTTGCAAATTTCCTGTTCATTTAATGTTAAGTGCAGACATAAGTATTTGAAGCTTATCTTTGCTCACTATTACATTTTTTCCCTGTAGCAGTGAATCGCCGAGGGAAAAGTTTTATTCTCTTTAATCAATATGTGATTTAGTATCATTATTTTCATGAAGTTTTGTTTGTTTGTTTAAATTCCTCTTGATTCCCAAATTTATTCCAGCAAGCTAAAAAAGTGAAAAAACTTCTGTAGGAAAATGACCTATTTAGGTTGCAAAGTAGATCATTAGATCTACTCTACCTCTACTGAAGCCAGTAGTAAAACCTTCTTTAACTTCAACAAAACAAGATCAGGTCCTCACTCTGTATTGCATTATGCTTCACTAGCCTTTGGTCACCAAATTCATCTGTCTGCCCATCCTGACTACTACAAATCCACTTCTTAAACCACAGTAGGATGGAGAAAATTTTTGAAAAATCTACTTTCTTTTCAAGTGTTGTGTTCTTTCAGAGCCAAGCTGGGAATGCCGCAGTTCTTGAGTATAGAAGCCCAGAGCCTGCTGCGAGCCCTCTTCAAAAGGAACCCCTCCAACAGATTAGGTACGCGCACGCATTTGATCAGGGCATTTGTTATGTGCACTCTGCCTTGTCAGGTGGTGATCGTTTCTCTCGGAGCATCTTCCCTGATAGTTATCCTCTTCATTATGCGGCATTTTGCATTCCTTCCCAGAGCATGTTAAACCTTGAGCATTACTAGAGAAATTTGCAAAGAGCACAAGCAAACCATTTGAATCTAAAACGTGATATTAGCTTGTATTTTATTTTTCAGTGAAGAGGGAGAGTAAAGCGCCAGCATTTATGAAGGGTTTAAGATAACTGCTGCAAATGATAATATAGGGAACCGAGAAACAGGTATCTTTTTAATTCTGTATAATTTAGCTGCAAATCTGAGGTGGGGAGAAAAAGGGAGTAGAATTTGTCTCTCCCATTCTCAAATATGTTTCGATGCTGTCTCATTCTGTTTGCTGGGAACATTTTCACAGTAGGCTTTCTTCTTTATTACCCTAAATGTATTATCTCCTTTCTTACTAATGTGTTTTTACCCTTTATTATTAATCCTATTTAAATTGTGATAAACTAGAAGGATATATTGGATCATGTATTTTATGCCATCTGTACCTTTGGGAATTTTTTCAAGAAATTCATTGCATTTGGCGAGGTCATGGACAATGCCTGGTGCATCATTTTCATTGCAAATTTGGTCTTCGTTTTTTACGTGGAACAGTCATATCAAGTGAATGATATGAAGATAATAGCACTGTATTGTTTTTCATTTAAAAATCATATCTAGTTCTGTGAAAAATCTTGGAGGTTTCTTTTTTCCCCACAGCCCTCATATTCTGCGTTTCGGGTGAACAAGGGAAGAATTTGCTTCTAGAGGAAAGGGACAAACCTTTCTTCCGTACCTCTGTTGGGGTTTTTGTGACCTTAGGAACAGGAATTGACCTTAGGAGCAGGAATTTAATCCTTCAATTCTGTAAACTGTATCACAGGAAGAGAGCTGATGGGTCATATTTAAATATGTGCTTGACTGTCATTGCCATCCGTGGGAGTTTTGGCAGCTAATAAATGACTTGTCTTTTAGAGAATGGCATAGACTAGTTAAATACTGAGACTTGTGAAAAGCAATTTGCTGTTCTCTCTTGCAACTGTTTACGCTTGTAAGATTATTTCAGGTTGAAGCCGTAAAGTCAGAAGCAAAAAGCTAAACTACTAAATGGCTTGTTCTGAGATGTGGAAAGGAAAAGAGATGCAAGAGAGGTTCCTCTTTCCTTCTTGCAGTACCCACACTCACTTCTCAAATGCTGGAGGTAGTGCTGCGGAAGGTCTGCTGTGTAATGCTTTTGGTCCTCTGCGTAGCAGTCACAGCATTAGCGGCCAGACAGGTGGCAGAGAACGAAACGCTTGACAGCCCACTTCCATCACCATCTGCCTGAGCGATGGCTTCTGCAGTTTCTCATAGGCACACATGGGTGTGCATGCACACGTGTGGAAGATGGACTCTCTGCTCTGTGCCTTTGAGCTTCTGCTTGACCTTTTCATGCTCTGATAGCTCTGCTCCTTGTTTCAGGTGGGGCAGCATGTGGGCTACTCCAGCCCTCTGTTTTATACTGAGCACCATCAGACTGTCACGTTTTAGGTGAATGGATGTTTTCTGCCTGGCTGCAGCAACTCAGCCGGAGCCCCCGCCTCACACAGAGGTCAGGCATGGTGGCTCAGCTGTTTTCCGAGAGAGCCTGGCTCCTGCGGACAAGGACAGTATGGAGCAGGCTGCCTCTTGTTGCAACCACTGGGGAGAGCACGAGCCGAGAGCCCTTGCTCCACACAGGGACCAGGGGATAACCCGACCTCCCGCAGGGCTGGGTGTGAATGGGGAGCCAGTCCCTCAGCACTCTGCTCTGGCCCCTCTCCTCCCGGGGGGATGCCCACACAGCCCGCGGAGGGAATGCCCTCCCATAGGTTTTACCTGTTGACCTCAATGGTAGCTCTTGTAGTCTGATATGCTGTAGAGATGATCGTGCAAAAACACATTTTTTCAGCAGGTTTCAATTGCTCTCAAGCAATTTGCTTGACACTAGAGAAGATTAGTGTCTTGGGATTTCTAGGTGTAATCTATGATCAGAAAAATAAGATGCTGCAGCAAGTATAAACTTTTCCCCACTCCACCCCTCTGTTTCTTTCTGCTGTTTCCTCCCTGTCTCCGTCTCTTGGTTTTGTTCTGCTCTGCTTGTTTTGTGGCTTCCCACAAGCTGTTATCCATCCGAAATGGGGCTCCAGTGAAGTCAGTGGGAGTTTCTGGATACTGGTCCTTAAATAAAAAGCTACTCACTAAAATAGGCAAAGTTGCTTACTTTTAGCTATGACAGTTCTAGTCCCCATATCGTCTCCCTTTTAACAATGGGAAATTGCTAAGGGTCAAGGTTTTAAACCTGAGGTTTATTGAAATACTGGGAAGGCTGGGAGAAAGGAAGAGGTCATTTATAACAAAAACATCCAAGGAAATAAAATCTAAAAGAGTAAGAGAAAAATAGATCTTAACATTTCAGGGGTAGCGGTGGAAAGCTTCTGAAGGCTCTTTCTGTTTTAACTGATTGAGAATCAGCACAAAGGACGATGAAAACAGACTTGTTGGTAACGAAAGAAGGAATACTTAAATGGTTGGCCTAAATACTGAACAGAAGTCAGTAGATAAAAGGACTGCTTCAACTTTGTGGATTTTAGCTTTTTCTGGGAAAGGAATAATAGTCTGAAGTTAAAAGAAAAGTAGGCTTAGACATCCTGTTTTGAAAAATCTTTAGAAAATTAATGAGTGTTCTAAAATAAATGAACCATATTATGGATCAAACACTTGTTTTCAGCCATTGTTTCAGAAGTTTGCAAATCTGGAAAGTGTTTGTATTTAGTTCCAAAGTGTTTTTAACATTGGCAAGATGAAAGATGCTGAGCTTCGAAAATCACTTTATTCTGAATACCATCTTGCTTTTTGCCATTTGATTTTGATATCTTAACAAATAGAAGTAAAGATTGATGATGTATTCTAAAATTTTGCTTTGAAACTTTGTTTTGAAGCTTTGGATTATTAATGGAAAAAAATATTAGTGTTGAAGGGAGATACTCAGACAAGGCAGAGAAGGAATTTAGTAATCCAGTTTACCTGATTCTGTTTTTAAGTCTGGTGCCTGTATTAATGCTTTAGAACAAATTTTTAAGGAATGGAAAGTCTTCCTTCCTTTGGCATCCCTTGTTATGGGCACTGTCTGTTCTTTTCTGAGCCGATACACTCTGCTGTACAAATAGTCTGCATAGCACTGCTTTGGTAGGAGAGCTCTGATTAAGTACAACAAATTTCAGATTATGGATGATTGCTCTGATAAGTACAACAAATTTCAGATTATGGATGAGCATAATTTTAAATTCTTAAAAGAAACTAACCGGAATATCCAGGCAAACAAGGAGTAAGCATCTCCGAAACGAAATTGTACGATGAAGGTGTTAGTTCATTACATCACCAGGAACTTAGGCAAGGGACTAATTCTTACTTGCCCTGAAGCCTGGATCTACTCAGGTAGGTAAATGAATATAAAGAGCATTTCAGAAACTCCCTGCACTGCTGAGCAGTATAAAGGTTCCAGAGTCCTTATAACTGAGAAGCTTGGCCAAGAAAGTATAGAGTAAAAGCATGCGCTGGTAGATTCAGAGTAAAAGCCAAAGAAATAGTTATTATTTCCTTAATCCCATGTTCTCAGAGAAGATGCATTCTCCTTTGGCACGTAGAAAACTTTGTTTTTCAATTTTATAAGATGATGAGTTTTAAAAAACAAGCTTCACCTTTGTCAGAGTGACTGTACATCTGTCTTATAAACCTTAGGAACACACTTCAAAAAATCTAGCCCACTAAAAAGATTCTGAAGCTGTGGAGACACTAAAATTTTATTATCTGAGACTAAAAATCTGGAAACTCTTTCTGCTCATTTTGAATTTCCAAATAGTCAAATTTCAAATTTCATAGGTCTCCCTTTTTCCCCTTAATATATTTCAAGGCTCACATTGTCCATAATGATTCAGCAATCAAAACCAATTACAAATAAAACATTGTACTGTTACTACTCGCAGACACTTTTATTACAGGCATAAAACAATCTTAGATAATCAAAGTTCTCACTTATTAACATGAGGCTGCTTTTATATAAATCCTTGCACTCTATAATGTGTTTAAACTGGCAATTTGATCTGAAAGCGTTCTTTATCTTCTCAGACCCTCATGGGACTGGATGGCACGTAGGAATATTTGCAGGCAGTAGGTTTGATTGTGCTGATTATTCTTTACAGATAGGTTTGATTACTAAATTGAAGTTAAAGTGAAGTTAAAAATGAGGCTGCTTTTATATAAATCCTTGCACTCTATAATGTGTTTAAACTGGCAATTTGATCTGAAAGCGTTCTTTATCTTCTCAGACCCTCATGGGACTGGATGGCACGTAGGAATATTTGCAGGCAGTAGGTTTGATTGTGCTGATTATTCTTTACAGATAGGTTTGATTACTAAATTGAAGTTAAAGTGAAGTTAAAAAAACAACCAGAAACCTAGAGGAAGGTGAAAGGTTTGCGGTCACGTGGTGTGCCATCGTGTGCTGCACTTCAGCAGTCTGCTAAATACCCATCTCTATGCCAAGAAATGTCTACGCCCATGAAACAGGACTTTCCAGTTACTCCTGTGCTTCTCTTTTTTCCATGAAAGCACATCTCTTTCCAGTACCACTATAGATTTGCAGATGGTAGATGAATGGATGAAACGTGCTGAGCAAATCCAGAGAGACTCCACCATAAGCACCGGTGCCTAACCTCTCCCATGGACTTCCACAGCGCGGTCAGGATCACCCCTCCAGGCTCCCAGAGCTGTCCCCATTTGAGGAGAGGACCAGGCCACACGCCACTGCCTGCAGCCACAGCATACGGCCTGAGAGGGTGCCATGGGCTACACCAGCAGGTCTCATGGCAGGGAAGATCAGGGAATAAATACTGCAGGAAGCGCTGAACCTTATCCATGGTGTAAAATCGGCTGCTGGGAATTGGAAGTCCTTCACTCTTTGCAAAATTAGACTATTACTGTCCTAAATCTCTTTAATACATTAAACTAACCAGAGGTGGAGTCAAGCCCTGGCACTGCTAACAATGTATTCTCTCTGTGCCAGAGCTCTGAGGTGGCCCCAAGTGGAAAATTCCGATTTTTCAAGCAAATGCCTGTGTCAACTGCATGCTGCATTCCTTACTGCAGACTGCAGTCTTCCACTGATAGAAGTAGCTATGGGTGGGCTTTTCCCTTGGTTCTGATTTCTGTGTTTTTGTGGAAAAAAGAACACCAACAGTAGCAAAAAGTGTGGCTTTCGAATAGATCATCTGAAAAAGGCGGGTCATTCCCATTACACAATGATGTGTCCATAAGCCTACAAAAGAGGGAAAAGGGAGACGGTGGGGAAGGGACAGAGCAGAGAAGATTGAATGCATCAGCAGTCATCCTCAGTCTGGGGTAGGCTACCAGTAGCTTACAATGTCTGTAGCATTTATCCCAGTCCTTCAAAATCAGTTTGGCACTTGGGTTTCATCCTTATGTAGTAAAGAGCAACTACGGCACATTACAAAGCTAGCAGTCACCACCACTGAATGCAAGACATTTTTCACAGCTGTTTCTCTCTGAAGAGTTGCTTAATGTAATTCTCTTCAGAGTAACTGTCTTGGTTTCATGTTTCTGTTGTCATTGCTAAAATCAGAATGAATCTGCCAAGGGTATCTAGTGCAGACTTTAGACTGTGCATTGAAAAAACATGCTGAGGAAGACATAGAACAAGTCTTACTACTATCCAAGTCTTAGTATTTTCTTATTCAGTACCCAGGGGCCATAAACAACTGCCTAGGGAAGAGTAAAAATAGGGCAAGCATATGTGTGATACTTCACCCAAATTCTCTGCCAATCTACACCTGCTTTAAGCTCAAGCAAGGGGTTTCCTGAACCTCTTGTGGTTTGTTGATGAAGTAATCTTCAACAGATTTCATTTCAACATACTTTTCTGGTCCCCCCCTGAACCTATATAAATATTTTGCATCCACAACATCTTTTCCAAGGAATTCCATGTCACACAACTATCTTTTGCCTGAGGAAACATCTCCAGATTGTTCTGAACCTGATTCCTGCTAGCATCATTTAATGACCTATATTCTTGTACTGGAAAAGATATGGAAGAGTTAATCCCTATCCCCTCATTCCAAATAATCATGACTTTTTAGATCTCTATCGTATACCCCCTCGGTCATCTGTTTCGAGGTTGAAAAGTCAGTCATTCCATACCATTCCTTGTTGCCCCTCTTTGATTTTTTCTACCTTTAATGAATATACCCTTTTATAGGTGAGGGTGTCAACTACATTCCATACTCAAGCTGTAGGTGTACAAAAAGACTTATTCAGTGGCAGTGTAATGATGTTCTCCCTTTTGTCCTCTTTTCTCTTTCTAAGATTTGATTCCATGTTGTCTTTCCCTGGAACTGTCCATCACAACCCAAAGACCTCACTCCTGAGGGCGGATGATCACCTCCGAGCACATAATTTTGTATGGTGGGCTAGGGTTGTTTATCCTCATGTGCGTCACTTACAATTGTCTATACTGTAAGATTACTGGGATGGGGAAGTAGTCAGAAGAACATTCCTCTTGTGTTATTATCCAGCAGGCCTGACAGACAATCCTGCATGTTATGTTCACAAAGTGTTTGCTTTCGGTATCCATTCATCGGTGAATGTTAAGCAGGCTGTAGGAAGCCGTTCCTGATCAGTGCATTTTGGCAAACATCAGTAATGTCTTGTACACAAGGAGAGCAGATGTCACATTTTACAAAAGCTTGAGTTGACAAGACCTTTCTAAAGCTGCTTGTAATGTTGATCTTCAGAAAATACAAATACTGCATATAAAAAGCTGAGTCCTCTGAGGTGCTGAGTGTCTTTTGCAAGGTGCTCATGAATCCCAAGTCCTCTTGGGAATCAAGGATGCTCAGCATCCTTGTAAAGAAGTGCTGGGTACCTTTCAGGAACCGATTCCAAAATTGCAATGCAAAGCCTTTGCTTCCAGATGTTATTTCTCCTACTGGAAAATGCAAGGTGCTATTAATAAAGTCAAATCAACCCAAAAAAATGGCATGCTAAATCATCTCTGACAGTTGTTTAGTTACTACTGAGCACCTGTTGGTTTTTGCGATGGCACTGGAGCAAATAAATTCAACTAAAGGAATAAAAAAGGCAATCTTCAGTGAAGACAAAAGGCAAAAGTAATGAAAGAATTAGATTCATTACCCGATCTCAGAAGAGTTTCCCTAAATTTCCTATGGAGTAATGTAACAAAAAAATTAACGATATTATCAGTGAAGGAAACATACCACAGAGAGTGATGATTTTGGTACTCATACAAATTTGAAGATGGTATTTGAAAAGGGGGAACCTAAAACCCTGGCTTACCTCTAATCATTTGGAGCCTTTTGGTATTTTGAGTCTGAACTTATTTGTAGTGCAGCTTTCCCCATCTGTGGAGGATGGGTAATTAGACAAGATTTGAACGTAGGTGCAGATAGAAGAACTGCTGCTGGTGGCAGGGCGCGGCAGGAGCCTTGCCATAGCATTAGGACATCTTGGGGCCTCTCCTGGCCTGGCTGGTGTGTGCGCTCTGCTGCGGCTGAAATCCCACGTCTCGTCTGAAGCCTGAAGAGAGCAGCTATTCAGCCTTGGCACCAGCCTCAATTAGAGAAAAGTAAAAAACCCTCAGCCATCAGATGTTCATTAATGAAGTGCCATTGTCTGTATTTATGGTTGTTTTTAGTGTTATGGCAGTTGCACTGTTCAGGGTTTCTTGACGAGAAGAAATGTTTAGATGGTGACTCCGGCTTTGTCAGAAGAAAAAAGGGGACAGGGAGGAAGGCTGGAGAAGAGATGTCATGCAGCACTCTTCTAAGCATGACTTCATTCTGATTCTTTCATTCTCTTGTCAGGTGCTGGGTTCGATGGAGTGGAAGAAATTAAACGTCACCCTTTCTTTGTTACTATAGACTGGAACGTAAGTGGAGCAGCATTTTATTTATTTTATTTATTATTTTTCTTAGCTAAATTTTTGAAGACAAACTGCCATGATTAGAAAAAAGATGAAGTGAACTCTAACATAGAGAACCTAGGAGCTAGAGACTTCTAAGTGGGTGCCTGTGTCTCTTGCATACATATATACATTTGTTCACATACCCACAAATGAAAGAAACAGAAAGCTGCTTTCAGCATTGCCAATTTTTTCTAACTGCTTGTCTCTGTTTTGTCTGATGGTCTGGCTTACCACCTGAGGCTATTTGTAGTGTTCTGCAGAATAATTTCCCCATTCAGCTCTAATAAACATGATGCACTGATTGTGGGAGCTGGACTGGAGTGAAAATGAGCAGCTTTAAATGAAAGAATTCCTGTAATATTTCAATCACAAAGGAAACCAGAGCCAAAGGACTGGGCTTGAAAAAGATACTCCAGAGGGAAGCCATCTGATGCTCTAGGTCCTTCCATCTTTCTGCTTTTATGTTCCATATTGAAATACTTGTCCCTTCTCACTGGGTCGGGCAAGCTAGACTAAATGCTAGTTTTATTCTTTCCGATATCAGGGACCTCCAGGAATCCTTGTCTCTCTTGGAATTATTCAGAGCAGCCCCAGCTCTGCTCTTACACATATCTGCCGACAGTAGCTCCAAGGAGCTCCCAGACCTCCAGACCCTTTTCCCAAACACTGTGTGGTGCTACTGGGACTGGCTGGGTATTGGTAGAGCTGGTACAGCCGGCTGTACAGCAGGTTGTGCTACTTTATGCTGGGGGAACCATAAATCTTCCAACAGGATATCTTTGTTGGCCCCTTCTTGTCACTTTTGGCCTAAGTGACCATAGGACAGGATCTGGCCCTTCCACTGTATTGCGATGGGGGCTACAGAAAAGCACAACATAGATGAATTTTCAGAAGAGTGATTTTACATCACTGAGTATACAAGTCAACCAGCCAGAACAGGAAACAGCAACTCCTCTTACAAGTGGTTGATGTTTTATTGAGGTGAGTCATTAATTTAACATCAGCACTCAAAATTGGAACAGCAAACATTTGATCAAATGTAACATGGTTCAAACGAGACCTGTCGGACATGATTCACAGAATGGTAAGGATTTATTTTATTGCTATCAGCTGCAGCTCATGAAGCTGGAGGTAGAGATTAGCTAAATATTCAATTTACACTTGCAACAGATTAAACCTTCTCACATTTTCAGCATCATATTTGTTCAAATTGACTAATTTTTAGACAAACCTGGAGTCAAACACTTTTCGTTCTTGATCTGGACATCTGCCAGTGCATCAGAGCTCCTGTTTGCCACATCCTCTAGAATTTTCTAGTTTAATTTTATCTGACCTGTGCTATGGTATTGTTATGTATCTTTAATATTTGATCTGAATTCACTCATGAATGCTAGTGTAACAGGTCACATTGATGCAGTCCTCACTATGAATTCTGGTAAACCAGCATGAATATATGTGACAGAGCCATTCTCAAACCGCTGCCCGGAGCTTTACAGTAAAGCTAATTCCTCTGTGAAAGCACACTTTGTGGGGCCCAGGTGGCCTTTGAAAGGCCCACAGAATCATTTATTTTGGAAAAACTTGTGAATCTAATTTGAATTACATGTTGAAGAGTTGGCATGACTTATAAGCATGTTAAGAGATGATCAATGAAAGTGGAGTTTGAGATTTTCCTTTATGGCCCAGCTGACTTTTAGTCCCATTACGTATGTTCTGGAGTCTAGATTCTCTTTCCTCTTCTGCTTCTTACTAATCATGAGATTCTGTATAAAGACTTTACATTTATGAAAACATTAAGTGAAAAGAAAAAATGGAGAATACTGAAGAGTTGGGTTCTTTATTATTATTATTTTCTGTATTCCTCTGATATCTCCACAGTCCTCAGCTTTTGCAGTCAAAATACAGGTCAGGTGCATACATCAACGTAATAAGGAACAGTGGAGCAGAGGGGGTTTCTCTTTCTTCTGTGTTTGCTAGTGGAGGAGCTCAGTAACTCATCACAGAGAAATGAGGCTCTGCATCTTGGAAAGGTTTTCCGCAAAGTCAGTTCTGGACCGTGAGACTCCTCAAGACCACCTTCTCTCATGATGATTGGCGATTGTTTCAAGCTCAGTTCTTTAGGGAACAATTTTGTGCCTGTCCTAAGGAAATTGTACAGTCCTCCATCATTTGAAAAAGTTCTTATGGATGGGTTCAGGCAATACCTACCATGAAGAGGCTAGGCATGCTTGAACATGACTTGGAGCTAGAGAGGAAGGTGGATTTAATTGCCCTTTGATGTCTTATCTAGCCCTCTAACTTTGCTGTAAAATGTAGTTGTAAAGACCCATTTTAATCGAGCATAATTAGTGCTTATTGTACTCTCTTGGAGACGGATCATTATTACACAGATCAGCTATCATCTTTGTAATATATTTTCTCATTTAATCCTAATTTTACTGTCACTCATGGAGATCTTAGGAGGCTTATCTAGTTACAGCAGCAGTATTGTATGCATTTCAGAGCGGTGTGAGCCAGCCTGGCCCTGAGCTGAAGCCAGGACTTTGCCTTACAGTGATCATCCAACCAACTGTTAACATGTTCTCCATGGACAGAAACAGAGCAGGGTCAGAAAAGAAATAGGTAAGGCACAGATGTTTAGTGCTGATCTCTGTACTGTTGCAGGAAGAAGAGTCCCTCATGCCCTCATTTTGTTCTTCCGTCAGAAACAGAGCAGGGTCAGAGAACAGAAATGGATCAGGCACAGATGTTTAGTGCTGATCTCTGTACTGTTGCAGGAAGAAGAGTCCCTGATGCCCTCATTTTGTTCTTCCGTCACATATACAGAATCTCTTGCATTGACTTGCAGGCAGTCAGCAAACAACACTGTAGAGGCAGGACATGAACGCTGATTTATTTTATATCTTGGTAATATAAAGACCTCAGAAAGCAAGAGGCAAGCTCTCTTGGAGAGCTTCTGAACTACCTTGGCAGCTATGATAGGCAGGACTGCTGCAACTGACAGCATAGAAACTTTCAGCAACTGTAGGAAAGTGATCCTCCATCAAGAGCCCCCTTATCATGAAAGGTCAGAATGAGTTAGTGTCTTCTAGAAACCCAGTGTGAAACACGTCTTTTTTTAAGCAAGATTTTTCCTACAAGAGTGACGTGATAACCAAGAACAAACCGCCAAGTTGCTTCATCTCAGTTTAAAAGAGATTCAAAGCAGAAATGAGAGTTAGCTGCTTCCTTCCAAGTTGTGTGTCAAGTCTAGATATCACAGTGATGAAGTCATTAGAATCGCAGACAGAAATTTATAAATCGGATCATCACATCAGAGTACTGCCAGAGCTGTTCCCTTGGGGTTTGGATTGGGGCTTGGTTATTGTCTCTATCACTGAAGTGTTCACCTGTTGGCGCAGTCATTTCCCACTTGTTTCCCATCTTTCACTGGCTTCAGACAGACACAACCAGACAGTGACTGGTTCGGATGAAGGCAGCGAACACAGTGGACACAACATACGCAGTGTAAAAAAGCCCCCTGTCTTGATGCTGTAGATGCTCATGCCAAGCACAGCAGTGCTGATAGCGTATGACCACTGCAATAGGTGCAATCCTGGAAAACGTGAGTGTGGCCAGAGAACGACTGTCCTCCTCCCATCCTTTTCCACAGCTGCTTTACATCATTCCCATGTGCCAGGGTGCCATTCTTCAGCACAAATCTCCAGCCACCCTAAGTTTAACTTCTGGTGTATAAGCAGCACTAAGTGAACTGTGGACAATCTGACACAGAGTTTTTATGCCCAAACTTAAATTGTGGCCTGAGCTAATCTCTGTAAGAGTCTCGTTTTTACAGCTGTTGTCACCCAGTAGCAAAACCCTAAATTCCCAGTTCCCAGGGTGAAAAATATATGGTTTCTGCAAATATCAGTCTTACTGCTCTAAGGCATTTAGTAGGCACTGTGACGCAAATTCAATAGATCCTTTGTTAAATGGATGGACTGTCTTTTATGATCAAGGCTGGGATTCACAGGAAGGAGATTAGATGTTGAGCTCCTTCTGAGTTTTACTTGCTTACTACCCTTGCACCCCCTTTTCTCCCCAAGACAAGCAGACCCAAACCGAGTTGACCTCAGATAATTTCAGTCATTGGCTCTGAGAAAGCACAGTCTGGTTCCTGACTTTTTTATTACTGTTTCTTCTTTCCAGGTCATGCATAAAGAATTCTTGGCTTTTCATTAAAAAAGAAAAATGAAATCCCTTTCTGCAGACTGCAGTCAGAGGAGTGAGCTATAAACAGTAGTTTTTGTTTAGATGACAGGCTAAATTGGAACTAGAGCAAATGACATGCTAGAAAATGAACTGTCAAATACAGCTGAGGGAAGGAGTGGGAAGAAAGCAGACTCAAGTTCTATTTCCTTCAATATTAATCAGAGATCAAACTAAACAGAAAATGTGAATTATTTAATTGCAGATCTTACCAACAGCAAAAATTGATCCCAAGGTCTGAATTCTGCTAGCTTTTCTATCATTTGCAAGCAATAACGTTGAGCCATTAATCTAGGAGAGGACAAACATTTTAGAAGGTAGTTCATCCTTTTGTCTGCTTATTGGATTTTCCATGACAGGTATATGTATCAAGGGAGTTTATTCTCACACTACAAGTGCGTCACTGTGGAGGGTAGCATCTTTCTGTTTCTAGAAGATGTGTAAGGAATAAGTCAATTCTTCATCAAAGAAACTCAGTTGAGGAAATGACTAAGTATTTTTTAGTTAAATTAAACCATTTTCTTTTTCTTTATATTTGCCAGACACATGTACGGGGCATTTACATCTCTGGGGTTTTTTAGGAGTGCATTTTTTTAAAGATGATGAAAAATTAACTGCTTATAAATAACAAGAGACAGATGCATGTCGCAGCATTTTGTTACTAGTTTCCCTGGTGTATTACTTGAGTCCCAGCTGAGGAGGTGTTCAGATGAAGCTCATATCAGGGATCTGGCAACATACATTAAGAAAAGGTCATTGGGACCTGGGGGAAAATTAGTTATTTCAAAAAAAAGGTTTTTATTCCAAATCAGAAAGGAAGTTGATAAAAGCTCATAGTTTCTCAAACTGCTATAGAACTGTGTTCTAGTTAATTCGTAGGTACTAATTAATCTGAAGGTACTGATTATCAAAGTCTCAGAAGGATGTGAGGGGTTGATAAGTAGACAGAAGCATGGATATGTATTCAGGTGTGAATATCTAAATCAGTACTTTCACACCTTGGAGTTCATTGCCCTCATTCTGTGGATTATGCACTCCCTCTGCACAGCCTCTGGAGCCGACAGCCGTGCGTGATGCAGTGATTCCTGATACCTGTCGGTCACATTTTTCTGTGATAAGTCTATGCTGTGGCCAGTTTAAAAAAATGGGGGTGGGATGTGAGGGGTTATTCTTTACTGGGAAAGAGAGAGAAATTACATTCTCAATAAAACATTAAGGGCTAAGGGATACATTTCTTCTTTACAGATGTGGAAGCAATAGGGAAGAAAAAAAAAATCTTCAGTTTCTTATACCCATGCAACATAACACACGTATAAAGATCTTAAGCACCCAACATGAAATTATAATACTCCAGTTAGCACTAACATACCCAAAGTCTCTTTTGAATGCCTAATAAGATGCCCCAAAATAATAATTTGGATATGAAAACTGGGATTTAAACTGGGACCCTGTTCACGTTAAAATACGTGGTGGAACTCCCAGTGGCTTCTGCATACAGAGCCAGGATTACCATGACTTGGGATGTAAATAACTGTTTAAACTTTACCAGCAGTTACATGACAGCCTGGTAGAAATGGTCAAAGACAAGATTTGAAACTTAACTTGCTATGTCATTTGCCACTCTGGTTGGTTTCTGTTGGAAGAGATCAAGGTGATCCATCAGCCCCAAATAATTTTGGGACCACGGTAAGAGATAATAGGTTAATACATTTCACCTAAAATCAGAACTATTCTTGGAAAATCCAGAAGGATCTCAAATCCTCCAAGAGGTTTGTTCTCTGTGTGTATAGAAAACAACGGCTGTGATTCTTACTGTTTTCTTCGATCAGCTTGTGTCACATTGTGTTTTGCAGTCTACAGGATGCGGGTTTTCAAAGGAAGAAGCGTTCTGCCTGTAGCAAGTCTTCATGTTTAACTGTGTTGGGCTGCCCTGCGGTTTAGTTTGCTTCAGTGAATTGGCTTTGGTTGTAGTGGCTCACTCAGAGAACTGGAGCCAGTGTGGGATGGGAAAGTCCACAGATGACACTGCTCTGCTTGTTCTTGTTCCTCAAAGATTTCATTTAGTTACCTGATTCAGGAGCTTGGGAAAAAAAAATGTTTTAGGCAGTTTACATTTTGCTGTTGCTAGTTGTCTAGTCAGAAACACCAGAAATAATTTTTATCACAAGTGGAAAAGGAAATGGAAAAGGGAGTCATCCGGATTGCACTCAGAGGAGGTGCCTTTCACTCACACAAGCAACTTCTTTGTTTCCATCCCCTCCCAGCAAGCGAATTTGTGATTACACATCTTTAGGTGGCGTGTGACTCATGATGAGTCTTAAATCCCTCCCTAGTAGTGGAGGATGTGGGTTAGGGATTCAAAATACAAATGTAGCTCCAACAGCACTTAAGAAACTACAGATGGGGGGAGGAATTAAGAGGCCAGGGAGAATATGGTTACGATAATCAAAAGAGAGTGCAGTTCCCAAATGATGTACGACTCTAAAACGTGTTCCAATATTTGGACCTCACAGGATGAGGGGTGCATTTAATTCAAGGAGGAAGCATGTGCGTGTGACCATATTGCTTTCTGCAATAGAAGGACTGCAGTTATGACTTAAGACAAATAAAGGGAAGCTGGAAGCAAATAGCTTTCTCAAGGTGAAATCCTAGCAACACAAAAACCTTCAGTAGGTGCCGAGTTCTCTTTTAAAGTTCTGTGCAGACAGAAAAAGATGTATGCTCATTACTAGGTTGATACTTTTCAGTTGATGAGTGACACTTCCTGCTTAAGATTGCAATTGGCTTTTAATTATTTGGAAGACTGGCTTTCCATTGTGGCTCACAGCAATTATTCATCTCTTTTTCTCTCAGAAGATATGGAGCAGTTTTACGCAAGCAAGAACTTTTTATGGTGAAATGGCCATTAATTATTGGAGAGTCATTTCCAGCCTCACCATTCCACTTTTCCAAGGAATCATAATTCAACCACAAACATATGCTTTATGCTAATGCTAATACTATGCTACAGAATGTCCTGCCTGAAGAACCTTTATTTATCTATGCAAAATCAAATTCAAATTATGTTGATGTGTATATATATCTTAGGTTTGACCACATGCTTTATATTAGAGAAGTTAATTCACCACAAAACCCACAGTTAAAGAGAATCTTCCTGCGTGCAAAGAGCTGGACAAGCATGTATTAAACTCCATTAAATATTTTGAAAAAGTCAGCTCATTATAAAGTTGTTTTAAGAGCTAACCTGAAAATACATATTACAAACAGTCATAAAATTGAAGTCTCCAGCTCTTATCATGACTTGAAAGTTTGAATGAAACGTTATATTTATGCTCAGACATGTTAATTATTAGGCACTGTCTGTGGCAACTAATTCAGCCCTTTGAAACCTGAGAACAAAAGCATTGCTAGAAAGGGAATGCAGTCTAGGGACTGAAACGTGGGGCAGAGAGTCAAACTGGAGCTCTGTTCCCTGTGCCGCCATCAGCATGATGTTTGGTTTTGGCCAGTTCAAGCAGAGATGATGCAAAGATCGCTGAAATCAATAGGACTTTTTACATTAACCTCTGTAGGCTTTGGGTCAGATCCAGGCATGCTGCACCTCAGTTTGTTCACCTCCCAGAGTGCGTGTGCGTGTGTGTGTATGAATGCTTGCAAAGGAGCACAGTGAAGCAATTTCTGAAAGGTCGCTAAGTATGAGTAAAGAGGCCATGAAGTCCCTGGTAATAAAGGCAGTGTATTAGCATGCATTTATGGTGACTGTTACTTATGTGATCCCCTACGTGCCCCCTCACTCGCCAGCACAAACTCACACACCTAGCAGTGCTTACCTGTTATATACCTTCCTCTCTTCCTTATGTTTTCCCTTGGTTTTGCTCCTCTGCTCCAGCCACGTTTAGGCCTTCAACATGATTCCCCACCTATCCACAGTGCTTTCTTCCTAACGTCTTTTGATGGCAATTTCATCTAGTCCTCAGCTGTAAGCCCCTTCCCTTTTACCAGATATGCCAAAAGAACAAGTCTCTTGTTTAGGTTGTGAGCACCAGGCAGCCAGGCCTGTTGCTCAGCTCAGTCTGGCAGAGTGTCAAACATATTGCTAGTTCTTGACAAATAATAAATGCTAAAGCAGCCACCGCTTCCTAGCAGTTCTTTATGCTCATTGCCATTGCTGCGCTGCTGAAGTCGCCCATGCGCAGTTTCCTGGTGTTACCATCCTGTTCCAGTCCTGCCCTGACCAGTGAATTTCCAGATGCCTCAGCTGGAATATTGTGCCAATCTACAGGCTAAATTTTTACCAGAAACATCTGTGTTTATATTCTGGATTCCAGTAACTAAAACATTCAGGGACCATCCAGGGCACAGGTTTTAAGCCAACCGGTCAAGCAGGAGCCGGAGCTATGGATACGTCATCCTTTTTTGTCAGTCCTGCAAGGACAGCACAGAGCTGAGAGAGGACAACCTAAACAAAGTGGGGGAGCCTATCTGCAGATGCTGAAGGTGTACAGATTGTTGTTGATTGTGATCTGTTCTTCTCCTTGTAGAAACTATACAGGAAAGAAATCAAGCCGCCTTTCAAGCCTGCAGTGGGACGGCCAGAAGACACCTTTCATTTTGATCCAGAGTTCACATCTCGGACCCCCACAGGTTAGTAAGGTGGCACATAGGTAATGCATCTTTTCAGTGAGTAAATTCGTTCGTCCTTCCCCTCCCCATTCCAACAGGGTCTAAAAGTCTGATCACCTGTGGGATTACTGGGTTTTGCAGTATCCAGCAGGAAGCAAAGACTGGTTTGCAGTTCCAAGAAAAGAAGCTCGTAAGCATTTACCTGGAGTACTGCGTCCAACCTGGAGTACTGCGTCCAGCTCTGGAGCCCTCAGCATAAGAAAGACACGGACCTGTTGGAGCGGGTCCAGAAGAGGGTCACGAGAATGATCAGGGGGATGGAACACCTCTCCTGTGAAGAAAGGCCGGGAGAGTTGGGGTTGTTCAGCCTGGAGAAGAGAAGGCTTTGGGGTCTAAAAAAGGGCGGCAGACTTTTGAGCAGGGCCTGTTGCGACAGGACAAGGGGGAATGGCTTTAAGCTATAGGGGGGTAGATTGAGACTAGATGGTCAGGTTGGCCGGGGCTCTGAGCAACCTGATCTAGTTGAAGATGTCCCTGCCCACGGCAGGGGGGTTGGAGTAGATGACCTTCAGAGATCCCTTCCAACCCAAACTATTCTATGATTCTATGATTTCACCAACTTCACATTAATTTGTCTTCAGAAAGGACAGATTTCACATTTTAAATAGGAAAAATAACTGTTGATTTGCTATTTTATTACTCTTACTGTTGCTTACATTAGCTGAATTTAACTATTTTAAATTACCTCAGCTTCAAAGAACTTTGCATCTCTGCAGGTTAGTATATAATTATGTATTCCATAGGTGTTTTCTTTAATTATGAAATCCCATAGACTATGGCTGGGGGGGGGGCTCTGCAGGTTAGTATATAATTATGTATTCCATAGGTGTTTTCTTTAATTATGAAATCCCATAGACTATGGCTGTTGGAAGTTAATACATCATTAACAGTAATGAAGAATCATCAAGTTCTCAGATCAGTGGAGTTATGCCAACAGGAAATTTGGCCCACAATATTTATAAAATCCCTGCAGTGAGAATGTTGTTCATATAATTTCTGTTTCCTAACAGGAATATCACACTTTGTGCACTATGTATATGAAGGTGATTGTTGCACAAAAACCACCTTTCCACTCTCTTAGTTGAAAGCAAGAGTATCAGTAACCTTAGAGTTGTAATCCCAGTTATAATGTTGCCTCTTGCTAGACATGGATAAGCTACATTACATTTCTGCCTGTGATATTCCTGTGTGAAGAAGTACCTGTTTATACATCCTAAAATGTAAAAATTTAATTAGCTGCTGTTTGAAGACCACTTTGAAGATAGTAAGCACTGTAAATATCACATAGTATTGTTGTAATAACCAAGTATAAGGTCTCAAGCTTCAACCCTCAAATTGCCCCAGAACTGTTGCAGTGCGAGTAAAAGATCTGAGCTTTCGTTACAAAAACGCCTGCGTTATAGCACATGAATTAGAGCTGAGATTTCCTGTAGTTTTCATTCAGGCTCATCATGACCTTCAGCCTTTTTCTTAAAACTAGCCCAAACCTCTGTTCAAAGCCTGGTTCAAACCTCCTTTCATGGGCTATGAAATAGTGGTATCTACTCAAAATCTTTTATCAGTCTTGGTTCCTAGTTTTTTTGGTAAGGATGTGCCGACTTTCACAAGCTATCAAAATATTACACTCTGGTTATTTGGATCCAACTGGAACATCCACCTGTCTCCAGTGTATGTTAGTCATGTTCTGATATTACTATCCCACTGCATGGAAACAAATGATCTTTGGATACCAGACGTTTCACACCTTTGATTTTAGCTTTAATTCAGATTTCAGAGGAACTCATTTCTCTGGAATATTGGAGACTGCAAGTTAGTCTGATCTTGAGAGAAGTGCAGGCTGGTGCTGCCCTGGAAAGTCTCAGAGAAGCATTGAGAGTTTGGATTGCTTTGGAAGTTCACACTTCATTGGTTGTACTGGCATGAAAATCCTTGTACTTCATGCATGTGCTGATTGATGCCCAGGGTTATATTTTACACTCTAGATGTTACTACTGTTGCCTAATTCAATTTGGCCCAGGGTTATATTTTACACTCTACATGTTACTACTGTTGCCTAATTCAATTTGATATCTCATGCAAGACACTGACTTGCAAGGTTTGTTTTGGGGTGGTGGCTGGGGTGAGGAGATGGCCTGCCTCAATTCTGCGTCATGCTATTATGAACAGTGGCCTGAGATTCAAACCCTGTCATTACAAAATAGGTGTAATCAGAAGTGTGAATCCCTTTACACTTCCAGAGTGGTAGAAAAGTCCTCACAAGAGAGCATCACAAGAATGTTTAATACTGGCTCATATTGCCAGTGGAATCAAACAAGAACCTCTTTTATTCTGTGTTTTTTGTCATGACATAGGCCCCATACAAACTTACCCTGTTACTGAGAACGTACCCAGACAGCAAGCACTGTAATAATTCCTGTTTTATGATGATAATGCAGTCATTGTGTTTTAATGAAGATGTCAGAAAGATATTACCAAGGAGGGGGCACAGATACATACAGTCATTTTGCACTCTGTCTTTATGAATGAGTTCTCCTCCCTGGAAACAGGTTTATGTCAAAGTTTTGGATCCAGTAACTTACCAGTCCAGTGATTTGCTGTATCTCAGAAAGCTTCTTTAGCCTGGAGGTTGAAACAGCTTTCTGTGGATTCCTAACCTCAGCTCTGAGTGCCCCAGAGGTGTGGTTTCTGACACTGACAGTTCATCTCTATGGGTGTGATCTCTCACATCACTTTTTCTCAGGGATTCGTCTGAGTTGGAGTCGCTTTTTCTGGCTGCTTGTTTCCTAAATGCACCCTGTGGACCCACATCTCATTGTGCTGACTCAGCTCCTCACGAGGAGCAGGAGACTGAAGCAATCCAGATTATAAATGGTGGTTTGAACAAGGATCAGATTAAGATCATTCTGGTGGTCCAACTCAGATTTCAGTCCACAAATATTTGTGCTGTTGTAAGTGATGGGGCAGCATGCTGTAACCAGCAGGGACGTCTTAGGCTGGCTTTACTGCTGAGAAAAAATATGTAAAATTGCACCTGAAGTATCTAAATTTCCTCCTCTGCAAATAAGATAATAATATTTGCTAACCCCAGTGAAGCATACTGAAGTAAATTACTTAAGATTTATGAAGCCTTTTAAAATCCTGTAAAATTAGATGCTCTAGTGGGACAAAGCATTATGACTTTCACAGGGAGAAAGATAACCATTATACAAGATTGGTGTTTGCAAGTGGGTCTAATTCAGACATATGAAATGATTCTGGATTTATCAAGACTAGGAAAATGATTTAGGTTTCATAGCTATGATTTAACATGATTTAAACACAATTTTGCACTTAACACAGGTGTTTTAACATTTAATTCATACGATAGGCATATCAGTTAGTGGTGATGAATATTTAATATTTAACACCAAATAATCAGTAGTTCTGATTAAAAGGGCTTCTGCCGTGCGTGGCACGGGGGGGCCCCGCGGCCGCCCCCGCGGAATCGGCATCAAGAGATTTCGGAAGCACAATTTTTGCGGTGGGGG